ACGCCGCAATCCCTTCTCCTCCATTCTCCTCTCGGGATCTTGGGCACGCACGCACATGCACCCGGTGTGAGTTTAAGCCACCGGATCCGGGACTCGAACCACGGTCGACTACGTGGGAGTCCAGCGACATAGCCATTACGCTAACTGCTGGTCCCATGACTTTTTTTTAAAGAATTATTTAACTTTATTTTTTTATTCATTTGTTTATTTCAGTTTGACCAGAGAGGGATAGAGAGAGAAGGTGAGAAAGCAAGCCGCCAGGTCCAAGACTTGAACTGTGGTTGGCCATGTGGGAGTCCAACACTCTTAACCACCACGCCATCTGCTGGCTCACACTTAATGACTTTATAAAAGAATACATGATCTGCAAAGTTTTTACTAAAAAAATAAACCGTATGGGAAAAAGAAAGGATGAAACTAAACTTTGTAACCAGAGCAATAACATAAAATAATAGTCTTTAAAATGTACCCAATCATTATGATGAATATATAGGCATGAAATTGACTATCATGAAGGAAGAAGTTTTATACTCTAAGATCCCTAGAAACAGGAGGCATAGCACTCTGCCATGCACAGGTCTCCACACTGAGGAGACCCTTAGCACAGAGAAATGTTCTCCATACTAGGTCTCCACACAGGTCTCCACACTAGATCCCTTAGCACAGAGAAACGGTGCAGGAAAGCCTTTATTTGGTTTTTATGTGAAAGAATGGGCAAAGGATAACCAGGTTTAAGCAGGTTTAGGATTTCCTTATTTGAATAATGTCACCTGATTTGTGGATTGGAGCTAACTTTAGTTGCCTGGTACCTGGCCCTGGGATGGTTAGGGCAGAGGAATATTGGCTTAGAGCCCAAAGTCCTGTTGGAGGGTAGGCTCTGGATTGGTTAGTTTGCATAGGAATTAACAAACCTTTGGAAAGGCAATACCTCCCTAGTTAGCAAGGCCCCACCTATATGCCAGAGCATTAGGAATACAGGGGGAAAAAGTTAATATAGACAGTCCTAATAAAAGCAAACACAGTTAAGACATGTTGAATTACTGTTAAAACACTGCAAAAAAAAAACCAAAACATTTTATTCTCCCACCTCCCTACCCCACAAAAAAAGAGAACCTGATGGAAAGGCTGGCAAGAAAGGGTTGAAATTACTGTGCTATAGTGATAAGACCCAAATATACTAAAATTGAAGAGAGCAGTGCAGTAAGTACAAATGCTCAACTAAAGATGTGCCTGACCTGCACGGCTGAACGCATGTGCTGAATGGGGGCGGCTTAAACACAAAGACACAAGTAGAGAAAGCAGGATTATGGTGGTCCCAACTCTTCTGAGGGAGGCAGCTGTTGTCAACTGTTTCCAGATTTAGTTCAAAGGGCAAAATGGGGGAAAGGGAAGGTGGAATGCAAAGCCAGTTTTCAGATGTTAATTGGCTGAAGATGCGAAGACCTCTGGTGCCAGGTAGCTCTGCATTTTCTCTTACCTTCCTGGGCCTTTCTGATTAACATGGCTTCCTTTAACCGCTGTTGAGACACAGACTAAGTTTTCTTTTGTTAAAGGCTTCTACTAGCCTTAGTTTAAGCCCAAAGAGCTGCATTTTTGTGTGTGTTTAAAGGTCACCATTGTGGTGTTCAGATTGGGCAGCTTCCTACAAAGATATACATAAACCAAGACATAGATAGGACATAAACTCATTGTAAGTTGAAAAAAATGTCGAAAATACATTTAACACGGGTCTCTAGCTGCAGGCCACGTGGCCTGGCTGTGGAAATCCCTGTATGACATGTGATTTTACCTGTTCTGTTTTCAGTTGCTTCCCATAGCTTGCCTCTGTCTCCTGTCAGATCAGCAGCAGTGTGAACTCTACTGTTGTATATTTGTTTTGTTGCATATCGCAGTGTGATAGCGGGGGAAATGAGATGCTTGGTGGATATGGTACACTTGGGTCATCCCAGGACCAGTCCTCCCTACCCCTGTCCACCAGGGAAGCAAGGCCCTTGTGCCAGAAAGGTTGGGGACTGCTGTTTTTATTTATATATATTTATATATATATATATGTGTATATGTATATGTGTGTATATATATATATATATTAAAGACTTAGCTTTATTTAATTATTTTTTCATTTGACCAGAGAGGGACAGAGAGAAAGAAAGCTAGAAAGCAAGTCACCAGGTCCAGGACTCAAAGTGTGGTCAGTCTTGTGGAATTCCAGCCCCCTTAACCATGCCAGCCCCATGAGACTGCTGATTTAATATACCTAACAAGGTTACAAGGGAGGCACCTAGGCTGATCATGAGGCAGAAAGAGAGCAAAGCATATGTAAAAGGTTTAATTACGTATTTTTACTTTCGTGCCAGAGGGTTCCTATGTGCACACAAAAAAGAAAGTTAATATCCCATAATAGGATTGATAATGTTGCAATTCTTTTTCCTCTAGTTCTGTTTCCTGTTAGGATCCTGGAACATGCATGCCAAAAATTTTTTTAAACCAACGGAGCCAGGACTGGAACCGTGGTCAGCCATGGGGATTTGGCTTTCCCTGTGTGTGCCTAACCACTACACTATGGTACCAGCCCTGTTGGACTTTTTGTAGGAAGGAATGGGCTAGCCAACTTTGGTTTTGGCTAGTTTGGATAATTTTAGCAGGTTCTACGGTATGGAGACCTCCTAGTTAACTGATGTCTGGAATTGGGACAATGGGCAGAAAAACATTGCCTGCCATCCTCAAGTCAAAAATTAAGGTTAAGTCAACCCATTGTAAGGAACTGTTTATGCTTTCAAGGCAGAAATGGCCAAGGTAATGGGAAGTATAGATGGTAAATGAGCTTTACTCCTTTATTTTGGTACAAAAAAATTGAAACATAAGCGTAGTTCTTTTTTTGTTTTGTTTTGTTTTGTTTTTGTTTCTTTTTTGTTTTTGGAGAGGTTTTTGCTATAGGGCGCGTGCGCTCACCAGACAGACAGAGACAGAGAGATAGAAAGCAGGAAATCACCCCCCAGGGGGGATGGCCATGTCGCAATCCCTTCTCCTCCATTCTCCTCTAGAGATCTTGGGCACGCACGCACACGCGCCCGGCGTGAGTTTAAGCCACCGGGTCCGGGACTCGAACCACGGTCGACTACGTGGGAGTCCAGCGACATAGCCATTACGCTAACTGCTGGTCCCAGCGTAGTCCTTGATAATACTCATTTTTCATAAAATTTTTGAATACCCCACATATTCTACTTTTAATATACTTAACCAGTTTCTGGTGCTGACTTCCTATTTACAAATCTTGATTGAGATGATTTGCTCAACCAGATTAGATTTAGCCCATTAAATTAGTATGAGAGTAACTGTAGACTTTTTGCTTGACCACCATGATCTTTGATACTGAAAAGGTCTCATAGCTGACAATAATATTACTCTCTATAATGATGCTTCAATATTATGTCTCTGGTCTTATTTCCAGGTCAAGAATGCTTTCCAAGAAAGTACCATAAAAGTACATTGTGAGCTCCAACCTGGTTGTTTACCTAGCCATGGAAAACCTCATTGGATCGTCACTAGATCAGATCATAATTGGCAGTCTTAAAAACTCTTTCCATCAAAAAGTATCAGGAATAAAAATCTAAAATACATTCTTGCCTCTTCAAGAAATTCCTGTAAGTGCCAACAGAAAAGCAACAGACACTCAAGCCACCTACGCAGCAGAGGGCACAGAATGTCTCTGTATCGGTATTTCTCGCACCATGTTGTGACCCATTAGTGAGTCATGAAATCATTTCTGTGAATCACAAATGAACGTTCTTTAAAACAAAATATCAAGAGTGCTTTGCATGGACGTTTTTTCGAATTGTATACGTGGCAAGGAATACTGAGGTCAATTTTGATATGCAAGAAGGGTGTTGATGGAGGGAATATGATGAATAGAATAAGATATTTTTTACATATATGTATAAATAATGGTTTTTAGTCATTTGATTGTGGGTGTCTTGTTTGGTTTTCATAATAGCAAAGTTAATGTTTTGCAGTCTAGTTTCATATTACCGTGACTTGGAACTACACTTTGAATTCTGAGATTTTCAACTGAGCTTCAGTTACAGACTTTGATTCCATTTTTTGATAAGGTGTTATTGAGGCCATATATTATATATATTTTTTCTTTTTTGAGTTAGTGGCATAACATTTAAATCAAACTGAAACAAATTATTGCTAAAATGGATTTCTTTATTAAAAGAGAGAGTAATGAAGTGAAATATGCAGAAGCATGTTCAAGTTCAACTATTGGATCTAGAAGTGTGAATAGAGATGATATTGAGAAAAATAATGACTCTGATCTACAAGCTTCACTTTTTTTTGAGCCACATTTCAAAAAGAAAAAAGTATGCCCAAGACGTTATAATGAAAGTTACTTAAAATATGGTTTTATCAAATGTGAAAAACCTTTTGAAAATGATAGACCTCAGTGTGTTATTTGTAATAACATTCTTGCAAATGAAAGCTTAAAACCTTCAAAGTTGAAAAGGCATTTAGAAACTCAGCACGCTGAACTTGTTGATAAACCTATTGAATATTTTCAAAGAAAGAAAAAAGACATAAAGTTATCAACCCAGTTTCTTAGTTGTTCTTCTACTGTTGGGGAGAAAGCTTTGCTATCATCATATTTAGTTGCATATCGTGTGGCAAAAGAGAAAATGGCTCACACAGCTGCTGAAAAAATTATTCTTCCAGCCTGTTTGGATATGGTGCGTACAATTTTTGATGATAAATCAGCTGATAAGTTGAAAACTATACCTACTGATAACACAATATCTCTTCGAATCTGCACTATTGCAGAACATTTAGAAACAATGCTTATTACTCGGTTACAGTCTGGTATAGATTTTGCAATCCAGCTTGATGAAAGCACTGATATTGGAAGCTGTACAACAGTTTTAGTTTACGTCAGATATGCATGGCAAGATGATTTTGTGGAAGACTTTTTATGTTTTTTAAATTTAACCTCACACCCAAGTGGATTAGATATTTTTACGGAATTAGAAAAGTGCATTGTTGGTCAATATAAACTAAACTGGAAAAACTGTAAAGGAATTACAAGTGATGGAACAGCAAGCATAACTGGAAGGCATAGTAGAGTAATTAAAAAATTACTGGAAGTTACTAATAACGGTGCTGTGTGGAATCATTGTTTTATACATCGTGAAGCTTTAGCATCCAGAGAAATTCCACAGAATCTCATGGAAGTGTTGAAAAATGCAGTGAAAGTTGTTAATTTTATTAAAGGAAGCTCATTGAATAGCCGACTTCTTGAAACATTTTGTTCAGAGATTGGAACTAATCATACCCACTTACTGTATCATACCAAAGTTCGCTGGTTATCTCAAGGGAAAATACTAAGTAGGGTTTATGAACTCAGGAATGAGATTCACATTTTTCTCACTGAAAAGAAATCAAATTTGGCAAATATTTTTGAAGATACTATTTGGGTAACAAAATTGGCATATTTAGCTGATATTTTTGGCATTCTTAATGAACTGAGTTTAAAACTACAGGGAAAAAACAAAGATATATTTCAGCATGTCGAACGTATCCAAGGATTCCGAAAGGCTTTGTTGTTATGGCAAGCAAGGCTTAACAGTGAACGTCCTAGCTACTACATGTTTCCAAGGTTTTTGCAACATATTGAAGAGAATATCATTAATGAAAGCATGCTGAAAGAAATAAAATTAGAAATATTGTTGCACCTTGCTTCTCTGTCTCAAACTTTTAACCATTTCTTTCCAGAAGAGAAATTGGAAAGATTAAGGGAAAACAGTTGGGTAAAAGATCCATTTGCTTTTCAAAATCCTGAATCAGTAATTGAGTTAAACTTGGTGCCTGAAGAAGAGGATGAATTAAGGCAGCTTAGTTCTTCATATACATTGAAGAATGATTATGAGACTTTAAATTTATCAGCATTTTGGATTAAAATAAAGGATGACTTTCCTTTGCTAAGTAGAAAGAGTCTCCCACTTTTACTACCATTCACAACAACTAGTTTGTGTGAACTAGGATTTTCTATCTTAACCCAGTTAAAAGCAAAGGAAAGAAATGGGTCGAATGGTGCAGCTGATATGCGGGTAGCACTCTCTTCTTGTGTTCCAGACTGGAATGAACTTATAAATAGGCAAGCACACCCCTCACATTAAATGTTACCTAGTTTTTGTATTTCTAATTTTGTAATATTTTCATATGTTATATTTAAATGTTAATGTAAAATCGTATGTGGTACCTTTGTTCTGTTTGAATTTTTGTTACATTTTAATAATATTAATAAAATCATATGACTTTATTTAGGTTTATTGAGCAAAAACTTCATGAGTTTCTGTTAGAAGCTGGGAACTCTTCTGAATACAAAATTGAATATAACAAAGATCATTTTCTAGTGGAGTTTTATTTCCTGTCAAGGAAAGATAGACGATAAATATAGTAAGCTTTATAATGTTTAGTAGAAGATAAATGCTATTTGAAAAAGTAGTAAGGGAGGTCAGGGAAATACTTGAGGACAAAATCACAAAGAGCTCTACGAATCACTATTTTTTTTTTTTGATCAGTGAAATAGTAATTGAATGATTTAAGCAGAGGAGAGAAATTATCTGAATTAGGTTGTAAAATATTAATTCTGGCTGTTTTAAATCCTTGACTGCATTAAACATTACTTCCTGGGACCAGCAGTTAGCATAATGACTGTGTTGCTGGACTCCATGTAGTCGACTGTGGTTCAAGTCCTGGACCCAGTGGCTTAAACTCACACTGGGCACGTGTGTGTGCACGCGTGCCCAAGATCCCGAGCATAGAATGCAGGAGAAAGGATTGCGGCGTGGCCATCTCCCCAAGGGGTGATTTCTCGCTTTCTGTCTCTCTTTCAGGAGAGCGCATGTGCCCTATAGCAAAAACCTCTCAAACAAAATTACTTCCTAAAGAGTTTTCCTAATCCCCTTACAATAAATACTCCATTATTATCCCTTTTATAACTTATTTATTTCATTGCCACCCTTGAATAAATGCTCTGGATGAGCAGGGATTATGTCCATTTGTAGGACAAATAGTAAATGGGTATTCAACATAGATTTTGATGAAGAACAAATGAGTCAATACCTAACATTTGTATTTGCAGTCATTTTTCCAGGAATAATTTTTTTGGGAGAGGTTTTTCCTATAGGGTGTGTGTGCTCACCAGAAAGACAAAGACAGACAGGAAGTGAGAAATCACCCCCCAGGGAGCATGGCCACACCACAATCCCTTCTCTATTCTCTTCTCAGGATCTTGGGCACACATGCATGTGTGCCCAGCGTTGAGTTTAAGCCACTGGGTCCGGGACTTGCACTGTAGTCGACTACGTGGGAGTTCAGAGACATAGCCATTACTCCAACTGCTGGTCCCAGGAATAATTATTAAATGTGTTGACAAATTGTTTTGCTTTAATTTTTTAGAATATGATTTCGACAAGTAACTTGTATGAACATCCAAAAATGTCATTGATTGATGTTGCTTCCTCATTTTGTTGCTGACAGTTAAGCAACTTACATCGCATAATGTCTTTCTCAAATTAACTTTAAGTTCTGACTCTTTTTGCATACTCCTTGACCTCTGGCTGAAGTTCTTTTGGCCTAGTCTTTCTTTTTAGAACCATATAGGATGACAGTTTCTTTCCATTATTATATCATGTTATGGGAATTTGAGCATGGGACCCTGACACAATGCTGTTCTGGCTGCTCTTTTTGCTATAAGTAAAATAGTGTCTTTCCATGAGTATGTCATTTCTGCAAAATCTCTTTTACCATGTAACATTTACAGTTGTAAGAGATTAAAATGTTGACACTTTAGGGGAGGATTCAGTTTACTGTAGCCCATCATCAGTCTCCCAAAGACTCATATCCATTGCACATGAAAAATACATTCACCCAGGCCAGCTCAAAGTAATGTGATTCAGATGGCTGAATTCCACATGGCCAGCTGTGACTCAGGAGCTTGAAAAACAGGTGGAGCAAGTATGAGTGCATGCCCCACATCCCTAGAGAATAATGGAGAAGTGATTGTGGCATGGCTATTTCCCTTGGGTGGTGGTTTCTCACTTGTCTCTGGCTAGCACACGTGCCCTATAGCAGAAACAATAAAAAATATTTACCCATCTGAGTCTTGAAAAGTCTCAACCCATTACAACATTAGTTGAAGTCCATAATCTCATCTAAATCTCAGCTTAAAAAGTCCAAATCTTAGTTCTAAATAAGATGGGTGGGTGCAGCTCTGGGTATAATCCCTTTGGGGACAAAAATATGTGTGAACTTTGAAACTACAAAGTTCTATGCTCCACATGATGGAACAGGCATAGGATAATGGTCAAAGACATTCCCATTCTAAAAAAAAAAGGAATCACTGACCAGTCACTTTTTTTTGGGAGGGGGAGGTTTTTGCTTTTAGGGTGCATGCAGTCGCCAGACAGAGACAGAGAGACAGAAAGCGAGAAATCACCCCCCAGGGGGGATGGCCACGCTGCAATCCCTTCTCCTCCATTCTCCTCTCAGGATCTTGGGCACGCACATGCACACACACCCGGCGTGAGTTTTAAGCCACCGGGTCTGGGACTCGAACCACGGTCGATTATGTGGGAGTCCAGCGACATAACCATTATGCTAACTGCTGGTCCCTCCCACTTTTTTAAGCCCTACTGAGCAAATAGGTTTGAGTCTGGTAATAGCTTGTGGCTAATGCCTCTGCCTCTGTGGCTCCACCCTTAGAAAGGTTCTGTTTGATGGAGAGCACCACGTGTCTGCCAATCTAGTTTTAGCAGCCTGTTCCCTGCCTTGTAGAGTTGGGAGCCAAATAGCTTTCATTCTCTCTTTTAGTCCAACTTAACAATTTCTCTAAGTGTGATACTCAAGATTTTTAGTTGGAAGAACTCACACTCTTAGAAGAGAGCCTCCACTGTCCTACATAATCCCATCTCTAGTTTTGGCCTCTAAAATGATTTCAGTGACCCATGAATCACATATGAATGAATATTCCAAATATTTTTACTTCCCAAGCACTAAAGCACTAGTATAAGGCTGTCTACACTTTAAAAATGGCTACGATGACAATTTTCATGTATATTTAAATTTGGCTCTCCAGAGCATGTTTTTCTCACAGTGGACTTCTTTAGCAGTTTTTACAATCTAGATAGGCTGAGAATTTCCCAAGTCATCAAATCCTGGTTTTATTTTGTGACAGTTCTCTCTTTCACATTTTACTAAAGGCAACAAGAAACCAAGTCTCATCTTGAACATTTTGCTTGGAAATCTTTAAATATGCAAGTTTATTGCTTTTAAGTTCTGTTTTTTGTCACAGTAAGACAATTTATCTGAGCTTTTCTCCTACTATATAATAAAGACTTCCTTTCCTCAAGTTTTCCCCAATATTTTTCATTTCTCTTTGAGCTCTCACCAGCAATGCTTTTAACATCCATCCATATTTCCACAGTTTATGATGATTTAGGTATTCTCAAAGACAATGCGAGTTTTCTCTACCATGCTTTTTACCACCTTCTGAGCTTTTACCTGTAGTCTGTAGTACTAATCTTTCTACTAACAGCCTACTTAGAGCAATTTAGGCTTTTCCGTTCATGTTCTTGAAAATTCTTCCATAACCCATTACCAAAATCCAAAGCACTTCAATATTTTTGGTATTTATTACAGCAGAGCATCACTGTTTGGGACAGAAAAAATCTCTTCTGATGACTGAACTCACCTATCTATGTTCCACTTTGGGATGCTCTCCCCATGAGCTCTGGTCAAGATTAGCCAAGCATAATAGTCCTGATTCTGATGCTTTCCCAAATTCAGCCTTAGAACTAAAGGAAAAAAGGGACAGGAAGAGGACTATTCCCAAGTACCAAAATCTGTAATAGTTTCCTGATGCTGCTGTAGCAAATTGCCACAAGCTTAATGGCTTGAAACAACACAAATTTATTATTTTTTGGAGGCCAGCAGTCTAAAGTTAGTTTTACTGGGCCAAAGTCAAGGTGTCAGCAGGAGTTGTCATTTTTGAAGGCGCTAG